TTTTTATTTCACCTGCCGTCAGTTTGAACTTCTCTAAACTTTACTTCTGGGGAATTTTGAAATAGTCTTCTTATATGGATCATATTGTTATCATTTTACCCATATCCTGTTCACAAGATTAATTTTAAGTACTATTTTATTGCTATTTTCCTTATCCACTTAGTGGTACACCATACTTAATTCAGGTTACTTAGCCTGAGATCTGAGGCTCTCCACAACCATTTACCCTTACCTTCTGTTAACCTTACAATCTACTCAGACAATCTAGTCATTATACTTTGACTTGACCTTGTGCTTTTCTACTTCAAAACATTTTTTTTACTTACTTTAGATAGATCTAGCTATGTAAATCCTAGTTTATTCCTTAAAACCCATTTCAAATCTCATCTCTTTTGTGAATGGTGTCTTGATCCAGTTAGAAGTCCGTGTCTTTCCTATTCAGAATAAAATATCATGTTCTCTATGCTGTTTGTTGCTTTACTGCTTTGTGCTGTTAACTTTTAAGTTTTTTATAGAGAAGGTTTTGTCCCATATATTTTTATGTTCTCTTGAGCATTGTCAGTCCCTTATACATAATGACTCCTCCTTATTTGTTATTTCATTTATCTTACTCAAAATACTGATATTAATCATAATTAGAGTAAAATTTTATTTTCTGTTTTTCAGTTAACCTTTGTTCTAATCCTGAGGATAAGCTTCAAATTTATAGGGACAATTTTGAGAAGGCGTACTTGGATTCAACAGAGAGATTTTATAGAACACAGGCACCCTCATATTTACAACAAAATGGTGTACAGAATTATATGAAATATGTAAGTCAGAACTTAGTATAAGTGCTAATTTGAGCTATTCTCTTGATATTCTTAAAATGATTGCTATTTTGCCTCTGGACAGGCAGATGCTAAATTAAAAGAAGAAGAAAAACGAGCACTACGTTATTTAGAAACAAGACGGGAATGTAACTCTGTTGAAGCAGTAAGTAGTTTTTTAACTGTATATTCTATGGGATTATTTGAAGTACAGTAGCCAGGGATGGCAAATATATAATACACGTAACATGGCTTATCCTTTCTCTGTCTCTGACCAACATTACTAATTGATTATAGTACTTTCGCAGTGAGACAGAGCACAGCTTTAATAGACACCTTATTGAGAACACATTGGTTTTCAGAGCTTACATGAAAGATAAAGTGTATTTGCCATCCTTGCTCTAGACTTTGTGCCATATTAAATGTACTCACTTTTTAATCAGTCTCTTTTATTATGTGTTATGCATATCTAAAGTTAACCCTTTTAGTGACTTTCATGTGGCAAGTAAAATATGCTCCCCAAAGATACATTTGATTCTCATTATTCGCAGAGATTATGTTCTATAAAATGGCTGTCAACACTGAATTAGTGAGTACTGAATCATTGCTGCTGCGGGATAGTTCCTCTTCTTATGGGAGGATGTTTTCAAACTTCATCTTGTCATGAGATAAAATACTATTTGATAAGTGAACACCAGTCTTTTATATTGTTTCATTTAATTTATATTGTATGCTCCTCATTTTAAAAAAACTGATCTGAGGTAGTAGCTATGCTACAATATCTGTTCTGGGTGTTTTCTCTTACATGGAGAATGACTTTATTGTACTTTAATAAGGAAAATATAGCAATAATATTTCCTCCAGTTCCTTTCAGCCTATGGAGCCTGGGAATTGGGTTTAGATTTACATTCAAAGAAGTAACATTTCAGTTTGCCTACAACCAAACATTTTCAACTGATTTTTTTTTCCTTCTGACTTTCCTTTGGCTTCTTTCATCTTGAATGGTAGTCATGTTTATTCTTTGTTCAGGATTTGGGTTGGGTTGGGTTGGGTTGGATCTTTTACCTCCCTTGTTTTTGTTTTGTATTGCTTTTCATAATGTGCAGTATATTTCCTTTTCAAAGGTTAAAATAACTTTGCTATTGGCCAGGAAGGGAGGCTAACTAGCATATGGTTGTTTTATAGAAGTTTTCTATAGAAATTTAAAGCTGGCTAGGGCTTCATTCAGAAGGCAGGGAAGGCCATTGAATGTTTGTTAAATAAGTTTGCCATGTCAGAGTTATCCCTTGGGAAGATTAATGTAGTGACAGTATGAAAGTTCAATTGAAGTGGGGAAGAGCTGGGAATCGGGAGTAAGAGGGTTTTTACAGTAATTCAAGAAGGTATTTGTAGTACCAAGTAGGGTTATAGCAATGGGAAGGAAAGGATCATGTAAAGACTGCCAGTGGTGGAATGTTGTATCCTATGGGTGGGGCTAGATATTGGACAGAATTCAGTCCCTTTATTTCTGAGGTTTTGGCTTGGGAGAATTGCTACAGAGACCAGGTATAAGAATAAATCCTAGTAGTAAGGGAGAAAGATGAGTTCAGTTAGAGCAGCGATTCTCAACCTGTGGGTTGCGACCCCTTTGGGAGTCGAACGACCCTTTCACAGGGGTCGCCTAAGACCATTGGAAAACACATATATAATTACATATTGTTTACAATGGTCTGACTGAGAATCAGAGGCAGCAAGAAAAACAGAATGAGAAAGGTAGAGATAATCAAATACACATGACAGCCTGAAAGAACAGTTAAATCTCCCTTTCTACTTTATTTATTTGTCTGTTTTGTTAATCCTCACCAGAGGATATTTTTCCCATTGATTTTTAGAGAGAGTGGAAGGGAGGGGGGTGAGAGAGAGAAACATCAGTGAAAGAGAGACACACCGATTAGTTGCTTCCTGCACATGCCCCAACCAGCCCAGGGATTCAACCTGAAACCCAGGTTTGTGCCCTTGACCAGGAATTGAACCCGCAAAGCTCCGGTCTTCGGGCCGATGCTTTAACCGCTGAGCACACTCGCCCGGGCTCTCCCTTTGTACTTTTAACACACATACACACATGAACAAGCACGTGAGCGCGGAAAACACTTGAACTAGGAGATGTGAATTTGCTCTTCCACAGTTACCAAATAGTGTGAGCATCTCACCAGCTAAATGATGCTAGAATTTAAAGATAAATCTTTTTGTTATTTTTCAACAAAGACACTAAATGAAATATAGATCGCTTCCAAATAAACCTTCTACCCTATAAAGGGCGGTTACTATCTCTTTCTTCAAAGATTATCATCTCCTAACTTTTAACAACATAGATTATAGCAAAATTTGGTGTAGAGAAGACATTAAGCACCAGAACTTTAGAATTAATTATGACATTGGGAATTTAAGACTTAATGCAGATGTATTACTATATTATATACCTCACTGAAGTAAAGCCGTTATAATATATACATAATATTTACTATAATGTTTGTTAATTTACATTTTTTGTTTTCAAAGAGAAATAATGTGTTAGAATGATGTACTGGAAGGAACAGAAAACAAAAAATCACGCAAGTCCTAGGTCAGTGATGGCGAACCTTTTGAGCTCAGCATGTCAGCATTTTGAAAAACCCTAACTTAATGCTGGTGCCGTGTCACATATAGAAATTTTTTGATATCTGCAACCATAGTAAAACAAAGACTTATATTTTTGATATTTATTTTATATATTTAAATGCCATTTGACAAAGAAAAATCAACCAAAAAATGAGTTCACATGTCACCTCTGACACACGTATCATGGGTTCACCATCACTGTCCTAGGTTCTACTAGTAATCCTATATATTAAAGAGCTAATATGCTAATTAGAGCAAACAGCAGAATGACCGTCTGGACTACCGTCTGGATGAAGCTGGGGCTGCGAGGGCTGAGCCCTTTACACGAATTTCATGCATCGGGCCTCTAGTTTAATATAAATAAGGTGTAGCTGTAGCTGGTTTGGCTTAGTGGATGGAGCATCGGCCTGTGGACTAAAGGGTCCCGGGTTCAATTCTGGTCAAGGGCACATGCCCAGGTTACAGGCTCGATCCCCGGTGGGAAGCATGCAGGAGGCAGCCTATCAGTGAGTCTCTCTAATCATTGATGTTTTTATCTCTCTCCCTCTCCCTTCCTCTCTGCTATCAATAAAAATATTTATACATATATATATATAAAGTGTAAACACTATTATTTGAACAACTAGTAAAAAACAAGCCACTTCCTATACTAAAAACTATTGGCAACAGACTTATTGTCCTAAATTTTCTCTTAGAGGAATTTTCAGTCATCAGAACACGTTATGCTATATCTTTATTGATACTAATTTTGCCTATACTTATCTGTTAGGCTATTCTTATTAATGGAGGACAGTTATATGGTCAGTCATATGGGGCTACACAGAAATGCACAGCAGAATTTAAGATTAAAGTAGGTACATTTTTGGCACGTGTATTTTCCTCTAACAACTAGAAAATTATTATGGTTTATGATTCACCTTCTTTAAATTTAGTTAGCCTGAGTCACTCTTCTAAGCCTGATTAGTTTTCAGTATATGCAGAAAAAAAGTTTCTGGACTGTATTCTGTGTAATAGAGCAAGCCTCACCTAGGTAGTACCCAGTTGTGATGCCAGGCCTAATGGAAGCCAGATGTACCTTTCAAGTGCTCATAAAGTGCTTAGCAGCTAACTGATGTTTTCGTGGTTTTTAAGAGTGTTATTTCATTCTTTTGGTTTATTCCAAGCATCTAATTGTCATTTGTAAATGATGTTGCTTCTTCTTTTCTAATATTAATACCTTCTATTTCCTTCAGTGAATTAAATCCGTCTAATATTAAATGGCTAATTTTAGAAAAATGTTAATAATTTCTAGATCCTTGTCTTCTAATCTTTGATGGGAATGCTTCTAAATTTTCACCATTATGCATGGTGGTGTTTTTTTGGCATGATGTATGCATTTTTATTATATTAAGTGAGTATACTCTTATTCTTCCCTTAAGAATATTATCAGGCTCTTCTACTTTACCTTATAGGAGAGCAACTTAGCACCACTCAGATCCACTTCCAGTAGACATGCAATTCTAATAAGCTTGATTATCTTTGGATGGGTCTGGAGCAAAAGATCAGCAGTATGTTAGTGAAATGGGGCAAGAGGCTTCAGAGCTGTGTTCCTGAAGAGGCATTATTGACAGCAAAAAGAGACGCACAATAGTAAGAAAAGACCAAGGAAAAAATTTTAAACCAAAATAAATTTTTTCTATGGCCATTAATATTTTAGGTGATAGTCCAACATACCTTGGAGTTCCTGAGAGCACTCAGTATTTATTATGCACCTAAACTATGTCAGGCCTTGTGCTAGTTGGGAATAGTAAGATAGACCCGGTTCCTGTCTTAGGAGTGACCCTGGAGTACAATGGGTGGTTTATATGGCAGAGCAGTGGCATAGAGAGTTACTGGTGGTGACAAACATCTCCTCAAAAGGACTGGGCACTCGTGGGGAGTCAGAGACAGTGTGTTACAGTGGTCAGGGCATTCATATGGAACTAGGTGAGAATTTGAATTCCACTCTTGTCATTATACCAGCTGTGTGCCCTTTGGCAAATTATTCAACCTCTGTAATCCTTGTTTTCCCAACTGTACAATGGGCTAATACCCACTTATGTTATCAGAGTGTAATAAAATAACTGTATAGAAAACATTTAAGCACTGTGTCTGCCATGGTAGTTTTTACTGTTAGGGCTCTGGTTTGGAGAAAGTTGCTTACTGATTCTAAGACAGAAATTAGTTTACTGTCTGTAAAAAACATTGATAAAACTCAGAACTAGGTCATAGTCATAAATTATTGTCTTTAAAGTGGGTAGTTGTTAATCTTGAATATTTTAGTATATTAAAGGTGATATCCAAAAAGTTAAGGTGAATTAGTCTGACTATTCATTGTTCTGTTTAAAGGGTTACTTGTGTAACTAGTTTAGAAATGAAGCAAGCACCACTACTTAAAATGGAAAAAGGGAGGGAGGGAGGGAGGGAGGGAGGGAGGGAAATAGATCTAAACCAAGCTAGAAAATCCAAGAGAAATTAATTTTGAGAATAACCTCCCACACATGGAATAAA